CTAAATGTTGACAGTTGCAGTATGCTGCTGATGTACTGAGAAAGCATAACACAAGAAATATAATTAAAGAAAAGTTTTCCTTGGTCTCCAAAGTGCCCTGATATTGCATCAAACTAAAACAACAAGGTTAGTCCATTACTTTAGTGAATGCTGCTTTGAGTGCAGGAAAACAAAACATGTGTTCTTGAAATAATTCAGCTAGCAATTACTTGCATGTATAAGACTATGATAATTAAATATTAATCAAAGCTCTATTCTTGAGAGAAATGCTTGTACTGTATTCATGAGTTGGAATAAGATGCCCAGACTGAAAACTTTAAAAACAAAACCAAAAAACCAACAGATCTTGCTACCAAAGATCTTGCTATATATCTCAAAAGCAATCTGAATAAAAAAATAAATAGAAATCTGTCGGCTTTCCATGTAAACTTGCTACCTTGTTGCAGAAAGTCTTCCATAATTAGTTTAACTTTTTAACTGATTAACGCAGATCACCGTATATGCCATGAAATTTGCAATATAGCTATTTCCCTGTCTAACCAATATAATGTCACTCATCTCAATGATTGGTACAAGCAGTCTTTTAGTTTCATCACTGTAATTGATCCTTTTAAAGTTCAATAAAGTTATTAGAATATGTACATTTTATAAGGATGGTATAAAGATCTATTCAGGATAAATTTTGAACTGTGAAAGCAAGTATTTTCGTTACATGGCAATTCCACGAATTTCAGCTCTTGAAAAAAAATCTCAAGCTTCAGAGTGTAAACTGAACACCCACAGTGGGGGATGAGGAAGGAATCTCTTCCTTTCAGGGCATGGTACTATATATGCATGCAGCATTATGGAATGAAGAGGGCGTCAACTTCTTCTGGAGCATCAGATATTTGCCCCTACCAAAGGCAATATACCAGATTACATAGGCCAATAGTCTAATCAGATATAACAAATCCTATTTTATTATCTGGAATGCTTCCTTCCCCCAATGAATTAATTTGTTTTTCTCTGTCCAAATGTATCTTTAAGTTTTTAATTCCAATTTATAGGACTTGAAGAAAAATATTTTAGTTGATTAAAACACTTAATATAACAATAAGATCTCATCTGATGTAAGGCTTTGGCCATTTTAAATGTCTCCAGGATTGTTTCATGTGCACCTAAATTAC